CTATACAAGCACTGTGCGTGCGACTCAGCTGCACGGTCATCCATGAGAGTAAACATATTACTGTAACGGATCATTGTTGGTACAGTTGTTCTCACTCATGAATTCAGACAAAAACACATTCCTAGTGGTATGACTGATGTTTGATTTAGAGGACTGTGGCTGTGTCCTACAAATTCACTTGGACAGACAAAGGACACTCAAATCGACGGCATAAGTAGTCGAATATGTTTTTCGAGAGCTCATGGACACACTAGGATAACCAAACAATTGTATAGTAGAGAAATGTTCATGAGAACACGCGGCGAAAGCAAAACTGAAATAACAGCAGTGCGTGTCGTTAGACTAAACGTATGAATTATACAAACCTTATCTTTTTGGGTGCAAACGCGTACACATGTACCCAAGGAAACGCGTGACAAATGTTGACTGAGAAAATCAAGCCAGAAAGGTTGGTACCGTCCATTCCTATCGTGACGTTTGCACTGACATGATGAATCATCAGATTATACGGTAAGAGACAGTCTATTATCGATATTCTCTGTCGAACAATGCACCTAACTCGACAGGTTTTTCATTGGTTTCGAGCGGATAGGCGTGATCAAGAATAAAGCCAGATTAAACAAAGATTTTGGTGAACTCATTCGTTTTAAAGCAACGTAGTAAGGGAGTGTCAGTTATCAAACCCTCAGATGTCCACTTTTCAGCTGAGAATGGAAGTCATGTGACCAAACCAGCAGGGGCTGTTTACAAGCAAGCCATCTGTTCTAGCGTTTCAAGTATTCTATCTGTTTCGCCAAATACCTGCTACACCAAGTGTTGTACAACACCGATAACGCTCTGACAACTTTAGACACATACTTTGGCTGAATATCAATAAAAATACCTAGTTACCTTCTGAATCATTATGTACCTAGGGATTGTCCAGGAAGGAAACTCACAAAATAAAATTACGGAACGGATTTTCTTCACTGTACACGTACTGGAATATGAAGAGTTTGAGTACTTTTATTGGTGGCTAATCTGGTGGCTGTCGATCTGTTTCCGAGCTTGGCATTTAGTTTGTACCCTCCCAACCGCGTACTGATAATACCTCCTGTATTGGTAACAAAACGTTTGCAAGCCCATTGCCGAGTTTGGCGAACAAATCAACAAACACCTAAGAAGCTATCATTTTTCCTATACATATCCACATGGGAGGTATGTCTTATTTGCGGTTTCTATCCAGATCGCCTGAATGAGTGTCTGGAGGTGTAGGCATCTCGGAATGGTTGTGGTAATCTAGTCCCTCCTCAGTCCACCTTTATCCTTTTCTTCGCAAAAAGGTTTCCAAATAAATCATGATTGTACAGCATTGAAGCATCGGTGTTGAGCACTGATATCACGGCATCGATGGTACTGGTGATGATGATGATGATCATGATAATGATGAATGGCCTTGTTTTACTGGTTAACAGTCGCGCAAAAGCTGATAATGTGGCCACCACTGCTTTTGTGCGGTAGTATTTTGGAAATATCACTTGGACGAAACAATTACCGAATTTTCTAAGGCTACAAAATAGTCTGGAACATCAAAATATACGTTGACTCTTGTTTGATTTACAGCGGTTAAAACTGACTTTTCTGGTCTAGCAATGAAAGTGACAAACCAAACGTGAATATTACACGTTGTCACACAATTGTTTCAGATTAAGACATGCGGGATTTTGCGGTGCTTTCATTGGAGTCAAACTAAGAAATCTCACTACAACCTCCTTAATACTATTTTTTGTTATATCCATCAGCCGAAGTGCTACGCCAAGGCCGCCTCATCTTCCATTCGAGCCGATATTCAGGAACACGAAACTGAAGTTCTTCGGCAGTGATTGCTGGCTTTCTGTTGTTTGAGACAGAGGCAATTTGTACCCAAACTTCTAATAGTTGAGCACATAAGGCTGTAGTTATTTTCTTCGGGCAGAATTACCCACCCATCATCACGGTGACTTATTATGCACTAAAATTGGTTACTCGTAAGGATGCCATATCCGAAATTACTCACAAGTAGAGACTTCTGGTCAGTCTTGCTAGGTTTTTTCTGTTGCAAGTTTAATAAATTGATAAGTTTTCAGTTGTTATAACGTGGAACTTATGTATGAGATGGCCCACACATCATACAAAGTTGAAATCACTATGAAGAAGGCATTTGGTACACATTTCCCGTTCATTGAAATCATAAGGACCATAAGGACTCATTATCCGGATAACGCACTAGTTGTTGTAGCCATTTCGTACTGTGACCAGGCTCCTTCATTGGTTTGCTACCTAGTCTTATTGGATGATATTGCTGTTGGTTTTTGTATTCTGGTTTGGTAGTTCTAGAGATCCACGTACTTAGGTTGATTGTAAGGGTAACTAGTGTTCATTCTGAATCTTCTAAGAAATTTTCTCGCTTGAGCACCTACTGAATGAGCAGCTATACTTCCCATAAAATTTCTCGAAAGCAGTACTCTCTATTAGAAAAGACGACTGCGAATCATCCACTCAACCTTTTACACTGATCAACAGAAGCAGATGATGTGTGGCGATCCTCACTATCCATTGTCAGGTTGAGCTGGAACTTTTCACTGTGCCCAGAATCACTCGAGTTACGGAACTAATTGTTTTGTGTGTTACCCAGTCATTCTCGGAAAAGAACGACCAGAAAAATAAATGTACAAAGTCGTTTCGTCGAACTAGAGGGTACTGAGTTATTGTGCTTTGCTCAGTCCAATTTTGTTGAATTAGTGAGCAGACTGCTGTAAACTTTCGATCAAGTACAGTGGAGTGGACAAGTTTCTGCTAGTATTGCAGGACAGTGTGCCAATGTTACCAAGTGTATTTCCATCACCATCTATATCAACAACAGACGGCAAAATCATTGTGAAGTTTCTATCGAGTGTCACATGCATTTTCATCTTATCGAGTTTCAAACGGTTGGTGATCTGGTTCGCAAGCTGGGTGATATGTAATCGTCGATCAGTTTGTTTAACCTGTGAATTTGACTTGAAGTGTGATTTTTTTGTTTAACCAGTTGTTGCTTTATTTTGGGGGAAGTACCGTTCCACCCACGTCTACAAGTTTAGTCTCGATGACGACGAAATTGCTCGTGCGATTAGGCGTTTAAGCCGACAACACTTGTCTTAAGCATACGGTTACAGTTACCATACTTTCCGCGATTAATGATGACTAATCAAACGAAACTCATAGGATGACAGCACACTTCGCAAGCATCATGATACATGACCTAATGGAAGGGAGTGCAGAGGGGCCACCGAAGCGAGTGATCAGCATATTTTCACAGAAAAATATTTAATCCGAAAATTTCGAACTGAATTTGCGACGAAGATATCGATGTCCACGCAGCATTGTACATGTTTTAATCAGCGTAATCATTCCGTTTATGAAAGTTTACGCTTATTACTCCCTCGTCTCAAACCGGAGAATGTGTAAACTAGGTTACTCTTATATGCAGTTCTTAGGTGACAATTTGAGAGTATTCCGCAGTTAGTAACTGCAAAAATGAATTGTTGGGGTCCACGGAGTGGTTCGGACATTAAAGTGACGTTGGCTGCAGCGTATTGAAAGCACAAAACAACCTATTGTTTAGCGTTAGAATAATTTTAATTATAGTGAAAATTTAGCGTTGGAGAAAGATTCTAAATTGTTCCGCATTTAAGGATGAACTGTAGCTTTTTTAAGATTGGAAAGCATAACCCATGCAAGTGTAATTTAAAAAAAATTACTCCGTATTTCAAAACTGAACCTGTGCAGTAATGTCTTTTGTAGAATGTCAAGCAATCCATTCAAATGTGGTCTTTCTCTTGCCTGATATATACTCCAATTATGAAAAGTGCTTTGAAGCATAGTCAAGTGAACAACTCGTGCTCCAGATACTGAAGCAGACGCTGTAAATAGCTGACGACACTGTCTGTTCCTACTGAGTACCAAGGAAAGTAACTGGTAAAACTCGCGTGGCCGCATGCCCTTTGAGAGTATGTGCACGGGATGGAGAAATACATTCACAATGCCCACATCTGGCCAAGCAAAAGTGCTACTGTGATTTAAGGCGAATATGTCAGATAGCCGGAGAATGACCAATTTCTCTCTTGACAGAATGCAAGTGTGGATTCGTCAGTAATTTCGATCTGGGGTGCTTGTCATGAGCTGATATATCCTGAACTGATACTCAGTGTGTCCGAATGGGTGTTCGAAGAATGGGGGAACGTTTCTGTCATGCCTGCTTTAAAACTTTTGCACCGATCATACTACTGTTAGTCACACAAAGTTTTATACTGATGAATTGCCAGCACTGGCTTACTCCAGCTGCGGGATAAAATCATGTATACAAGGTTACAGATATATAATGTGTTGTGCTCTTGTCAGGAAAAGGATGTTACAAGACAAAAAACTTGTCCTCATACCAGTTTTCATTCTGGTTTATTGTCGCGCTGCAGAGAGTGAACATTTCCTCCAGCACTTAACAGTTGTGCAGAACGTATTTATACAGTGGATAAAGATCCAAGTAAACAGAGGATGGACAAAATAGTGGTTATAAGTGAATTTTTCTGAGGACCAATAATCTTTCTATCACTTCACAGTTTTCCGGCACCGCCCAGGGTACTGACAATTAAGTACGCAAAAACACCTGTGAATAGCTGGGACAACTTTACCCTAATAGATACGCTCTGTGTCTTTTGACGAAGTGCCTGTAAATCAGGCGAGAAATAGAAGCGTCCAACTTAGTATGGATGCCACTGTCAATTCTACCTTGGAACTAAACCATTCAGTTTTCCTCTGAAATTATGTGATGTAAAACCGTGCGGTCCAAGGGCAGCAGCTCATTAAACCGGCTGCATTTACAGTTCTATGATGATTGTCTAGTAATACGGTTAATGAACTCAAGGCGGATTATCTGATAAGGGGGAGGAAATTATGCGATGCTCTAAGTAATGAGCTCATGTTTCTTTGCTTCCCCTTTATATCAGATAAACCCTGTGAGGCAAGGGGTCAGTTTACATGCCGGACTCAAAAAGACAGCCCGGAAAAACCACCAATTTGCATTCCTCGTTCAGCAGTGTGCAACGGTATCATTGACTGTCCCAATGGAGATGATGAGATGGAAGGACCTCGCACTGGTTGTACCACACCGTCCTGTGCAATTAACAATGGTGGTTGTAGCCAGGTAGGTTTGCCTGTTTTTTCACTTCGTAATGCTTAACATCGTTTCCACCTCTAGATGGGCGATATTTTGGTAAAAGTAAATTACGAGCAACTCAGCGAAGGAAGTTAACAGTCTTATTTTGTTCTTTACTGGCCACTTGAGCACAACGACTAAACTATCGCCTAACGTTCTACATTCTAATCAGCCTATCGCGATCTACTCGATATGCCATGTCAGTAACATATTTTGGACTTAAGTGTACGAGACTTCCAAGTGAAGGAATTCCCTCAACTCCAGATGAAAAGTTTCACCTGAGCTCTGCTAACGCAAAAGTTTGTCTAACTTCGTTTGGCGAAAGGTGTATCATCTTCAAGGCTTAGAAGATGTAGAATTTGGTATGAATCGTCAAAATTGCACTAGACAACCACATTAAATGTAAGTAAAACATGGGAGACGTTCCTCTAGCATAAATGCTTATTTTTCCTTGTCTTAAATGAGACCAAGTGAGCGTGTGCACCTGTACATTATTAAACCACACCACCTCGCACACCATATGCAGTTACGTTCTAACCAATACACAAGAAGAGTTTTTCAATCTATTTTCCTCCATATCCTAACTAGCTATTGAAAACCATGTCTTCGCAAGCATGTAAGGCATGGCGGTTAAATGTGATCGGTGACCGCAAGCCATCTCGGTGAACAAACAATACCAGCACAATTTACCTACTTATTTAGATCAAGTAGTTAAACAATACCGTCTTATTACGCACGATCAGCCACACGGTGACGGACAAGACGCTGCATGCATTCAGCTGGGTTACTAAGACTCTTCAACAGAACATTACAGATTAATGGCAGTGCTTTGCCTAATTAAGCTCGTTGAATAAACAAATGGTCGCCTTAAACAGCACAACACTGTTGACCTAACAGACATTTCAGTATTTTTTGAATTTATAAAAAGCGCATGCAAAACATCCAGCTTTTGAAAAAATCAGCCACTCTTATCAGCCCTCTAGAGGAGTTAGCGAAAAGCCTATCATAATCACATTAGTTTTTATGAGTGCTTCTAACCACAAACTAGTGTCAGTAACATGAAAACTCTCCTTAGCAGCAATCTGACCATTTGCTGACACTGAACGCGTTATTGATAGAAGTTTTCTTACATGGATGTGCCAGCGGTTTAACTCGTTGAATACCAACATACCTTGTACTCCTCTGTCGTAATTCCACGGAGAATTTACCACAGACATTGTCGTGCTTTTCACAGAAATGTTGCAGCCTGCCTCCTCTAGATGCAGTCCACACCATCTATGAATTTTATCAGAAGTGTCTGTTATTACTATATTAGGCCGATTGACCCAGCAGTTTAGCGACCTCGATTCGGGTGACAATCAGGCTACAGATTATTAACATGTGATCTCAACATTCGTACAAACCACCTGTATGTCGAGCTGGGTTGAACGGGCAAACTGCACATATCGAACGGTTGAATTACTAACAGGCATATGGATTGTGGCGGCTGGGCTGACGCGAAAATCTTCTAGTATAGGACTAGATTTGTGGATTACCGGCACAAAAAACACAACAAGGTAATTTCCACTGACGGAAAATTGGGTCCATTTGCTGAGCTCTGCCTTTCTTTCCTGTAAATAGAACGTGAGTGCAGAATGCGACGCACTTGCCTGGTTAAGGGAATCGGACTTGATTGTGGATTACCGGCACAAAAAACACAACAAGGTAATTTCCACTGACGGAAAATTGGGTCCATTTGCTGAGCTCTGCCTTTCTTTCCTGTAAATAGAACGTGAGTGCAGAATGCGACGCACTTGCCTGGTTAAGGGAATCTACCTGCTTGACCTTATGGTGCTTGAGCACACACTATCACGCCAAACCCGAGTAACCACGAATTTCATCCCAATAAATCATTTTCCGAAAGGGTATAGATTCCTTGTACGAGTGTAAGATAAAACAGCCGGCAAAAATGAATGTGAAAAAGGGAGTCTATCGTTTTTGTATTGTTCGTGTTACTGTATGGGGTGAAGTAATACTTATGATGTGCGAAAAATTGTTCGAGAAACATTTACTGTGAATCACAAGAGATGGGAATAGTTTGGCATCGAAAATCAGGAGAGGCGTGTTAGGAATACATACGAGAAGCTGGTCATGCATAATCCCAACGCACGCGCTGATCGACGAGAATTGTGAGGAATTGGTTTTTTGAGATGGAGTTTGGTGCGTGAATTATCATCGTACTCTCGAGAAATGTCATCATACTTGGTCCAATTTTACCTCGGTTCGGTCCAGTCAACCTTCGCGAGCATTGCAGGTACAATGACAGCATTAGAAACACGGATTTGAGTTACTATAACGATTTGGGATCGAAACGACGTGGACCTGCTACTACACATGGCCTGAAAGTATCGGAAAATGACCTAATTTCATCTACCGTCACTATCACTCGGAATTCCCGTAAGTAAGCGGTAGGTCAAACGATCGACAAATCTGAACCGATTTTTACTTTGTGTTGTTTAATTTGGCACATTATCTCGAAATGTTTGGCATTGAGAAAGAGATTTGGGCTCCCCTGCTCGGCGTGATTATGTGATTGCACATCACCAAACCGGTTTTCGGAGTCAGTTTAGTTGCTTTTCTACACGATAAATGAAACTTAATTGATTCGACTGGGGTTTACGTAGTTGCGTGTTACAGTTTGAACTGCTTGCTGAATGACCACATAAGATACTCAGAATTGGGATCGAAACGAATTCCGTTAGAGTTAACATACGATGCTTTAGAAACAGCTGACCCGATATTCCATTGAAGCAATTTCCTGAAAAGCTTTCTCGAATATGTTATACTTGAAAGAGTGCCTTCTAGTGTTACAGTACCTTCGTCATTCGTTTACTTCAGCGGAACATTCTAACACCAATTAACTTGGGACTCTTCGTCACACAACCTAGCTGCACTTATCATTGGCGTGTACATCTACTTACATGCGTGACACGATCGAGCGTAATGTTCGGATTTCGCGATAACATCTAACGACTGCATGGGGGTACATCCACATTGTTTGCTACTGGCAAAGTGCGTACCTCGCTGAAAAAGAGCTAAAACAAACTTGGCTGATAACCTGTCCGTGCAGCGTTTTTACATTGACATTCAGCCCCTAGTTTGGAGCCTCACAATGGACAAGCTTCAATTGAAATTTTAGTAAATAGCAGTATAATCTGGCAATAAAAGGTTGACTGAACCGCATAATGGTCCGTAATTTCAAAGTACACGATTCCCGACTTTGAAAATTTGCATCAGGACGCTGGAGAGTCTCTCCATTTAGTGCTCGTACTACTTACTCTTCGAGAAATTCACAGTCTGCAATCACCGCGTTTTGAGTCGATTGTACTAAATTGTTGTATGGATAGGTGTATTTGGGTTTACATTACCCTACCGATAGTGGAAACGCCAGGCAGGGCATGCATATTCACGTAAACTTCGGGTCGAATAGCAACATGCGCTAGTTGGGTGTTTTTTCTGGGCTAGCTTGGCACACAAAATTGCACTGCACAACGCCATACGCTCACAAGTAGCATTAGTGTTTCTTCAAATAGAGTACTCTGCCTACTGTAGAAATCACGGCAGCTCAGCAATCGGTCAGTTAAGCTGTGTACATAAAGCTGAAAATGCAGTGATTGGTAAACGTCTTGAAGTGGAATTACGTTGCTATTCTCAAAGCAAATTGTTCAACCATAGGCCCCTTAAAAATCCCGTGTTCCATCGACTCATCAATCTGAATCGGTTGTTGACTATGTGGACAGTAAAGTATCCATCTTCCTCCCTGTCACAAATAAAATTTCTGATTTCGTGGCAGTGAGTCTGTAGGGTGTTTACTCCTATAAATCCCCCCAAGGTCCGTTATATCTCATATATCTGCATGATGTGGTTGGCTTCTGGCATCACATGAAACGTAGATAGGCTTGGTGGAAGCTTTACGTATAAAAGTAGTTTTTGAGTTACAGGATTGCAAACCAACGCCGGTTAGCTAGATATTCGTTCCATTCTGAGTAGAGGAAAAGCGGTATATTAGTGTCATTAGCTTGTTTCCAGGACAGTTTTGGTCTCAATTAATCGCTTCAATTTTAGACAGTCTTGAATGAGAAACTCTAGAGAAACTTATTGTGGACAAGAGGCAAACATATAGACCTCATGTTGAGTCGCACTTATATATTCACCCTTTTATTAAACAAGGTAATCTGTAGGTTCGCATTTTTCCCATGTGAGACTGATGAATGAGGTTTACATCACACAACCAGCTGTCGCTTAGCACGCGTCTTCTTTAGGTCAACGATGCGACAGTAAAATTATTTACTGGTGAGAAGGAACTGAATGTTCACATTTTTTCTATATCAGCAAACAGATTGGTTGTAAAACATCCAACCAACGCATGCAAGAAAAACAGTGAAAAGCATATTTTTAGTTCATTAATGTTATTTCTTTCTTATGAAGCTGTTGAGTTTTAAGGTCTTATCGGGACAAAAAGGAAAGTCACCTGACACACCAGTGCCTGAATTTTGTGACAAGATTCTTGTTACTATCAGAAGATAAGCATCCTCTTCAATTTACTGCTGAGAAATCACCCAAGAAATATAGTTTACGCGCTCATTACACTTGAACAAATGCGTGCAAATCAAACTTTGATCTTTTTTAAAAGAACTTTAAAGACGTGATTGAGAAATAACCATACAGTCTCTGTAACTTTAATGCAATTTACTGAATACGCAACTCAATTTGATTTGTCATTCTGTTTGACCCTACCAGTTGTGCGAGGTGGTTGGAAGGCAGGTAAAATGCAGCTGCAACCCTGGCTATTTCGGTCTGCCCGAAAACCCTCAGATTTGTGTTGCTATTGGAGACGTTTCGGTTTTGTATTTGGAAGAAGGCCAACTGCATCAAAGAAACTTCAGAGAATCCCACTCAACTGTTTACCGGTTATGGGCGGACCCCGAAGGTAATGAAGACACGGGGCAGCTGGTTATGGTGAGTAACTTTTTCATCTTTTTATTTAGATGAGTAGAGAAAACGCAGATGTTCAGAGGAGTTTGTGGAGAGGATTACAGTAATTGTAGCCCTTCCCGCCTAACAACATATTTTATCAGGAACTTTAAAAATCCTTTTGTTCGAATGAGCATTATCCTGCATTTTCTAATTACGACATTTGTTTATCACCTACAGGTTGTTTTTACTTCTTGCTCACTACTTGCGCGGTCCTAAACTGAATCGTTCGCATTTCGCTGCCTACCATATTTGATCCCACACATATCAATGTCATTTTCTATGGATAACAGCCTTGTGGCCGTCGGAAATCATGTGTGCATTGAGTACCTTTTCCAGGGCGACAACTTTCACACTGACTGAAGTGATGATTTATATTGGTATCTTTCTCTACGAAAATGAATTTAGTGTTCATGCGATATAGAAGTTGGTTCTTGCTCACTTAGACGGATCGCACTCATTCTCCATTAATTCACTACCCAACCTGAACACTAGCCCAATGAAATGTCCCAATGTCCAGCATTATGTATATCACTGACGCGGACATTGGTCCGAAAGTTGTGCAGCTGAACTTTTGCTTAAGTCATTTTCATAAAACTATGAATTTGAATCTGATGGAATATCGAAATTTAAATTTACTGCTTATACCAACTTTCGGAATATTTTGGAGACGACGGTAAGTACATTGGTAGCATTACAGCGGTTGTGAACCATTTCTGAGACAAAATACTTCATAGATTATTTAACTTCTTCCGGTTTCGATCAGAAAGCGGATTAACTAGAAAATAAATTATATATCAGTTTGCCTACTCTATAGAGGAAAATGTTGGTAGCTCGGGCAGCGTAGATGGTGGTCGTTGACTTGTTCGCTGAGCTGGGCAATTTGATTGCAA